TTAATATGCTCACCGCTGATGTGGCATGCACACAATGGTGATGTTAATATATTAAAAAAAATACATCACCTGTGTGCATGACACATAAGTCGGTGAACATATTAACATGTGCCACTGTGGGCATGTAAACATTTCTCATAATTATATATTGATGAATTGAGTATATATATGAATATGATGATTGTTTGTAATAGCTGTAAAACTAGCAATAACATATTTTTTAAAATAAAAATCTAAAAATAATTTTATGCTCATATTTCTGAATTTAATACTTGTATATTACATAAGGATTGTACTTGTAACTATTATAAAAACACATTTTTAAAAATAGATTTATAAATGAATTGAATATATGGTAATTGTTTGTATAGCTATAATGTTTTCATAGCTAGATGTATTTTTTAAATATGAAACTAGATTCCCACAACCTCTTAACAACTATAAATATTTAATAATGAGACAACCGCCCTTTAGAATATAGTATTAAGTGAAAATATAATATCGTATAGTAATATAATATATATTTCTACAAAAATATGACGAGTTGCTGTATAACCAAATAATGAAATCTATGTATTATTGGAGTTGGGACTTAATAATTTTTCATATTCCAAACATACCAATCTATAATAAAACTTTTGACAGTTTTCCATTTAAGATTATATTAATTTCTCAACATATTTGTTGTAAGAAATAAAAAGGGGAATTTTTAAGCAATCTACACAATTTTTGAGTAATTGCAACATTACACATTTACACTTCATATACTTTGCATTGGTGTCCAAGAAGCGGGTAAAGTGTCTCATGTTGGCTGCTGCTGCAACCTTGCGAGTAACTTCCTAACAGTAAAAAATAGGGAGATTTGCACCTGTACTGCACGTTTTTTAAATAATTGCACATTTACCACTCTAACAAATTAAATTGTGTTTATACCTAAAAAATAAAAATTAATTAAAGTCATGCCTAAATCAGTTACATGATATGGAACAACCTTTCCATATTTCTAGCCCATAATTTCAGCTCTCAAAGTGGAAGGATATCATATTTGAATTTCAATTCATAATATTGACAGATACGGACATGACAAAAGAAAGAAACACACGCCGGCGAGCAGAATTTTCCGACGGTCTTCATTCAGAATTTTGACGTGATCTCGAGTGTATATCTTAGGTATATTTTATGTATATGTGGGTTCTAAAATCGATTTTGAGAAACGATTGAAACTCGAGTGTATATTTAAAGTATATTTTATGTATATGTGGTGTCGTGGATTTGAGTTACGTGAATCTCGAGTGTGTATTTTATGCATATTTTATGTATATTCTATGTATATTCTATGTATATGTGTGTTGTACAACTTTGGTATATACCCGCGACGTGTAAATTGTCATATCTGATGGTAACATGTAAATCATGTACAGAATTTTCATACCCGAAATATACATATTGTCATATCGAAAAATATACTGAAAATATACTATATATACCCACAACATATACCCGCAATATGTACAGAATAGAACAATCTATCAACAAATTAAGCACACCAAGTGTTCGACAATTACCCTCTGAGAAGTTTTTCGTCAAAATAGATAGAAAAAATTATATATTTAACATATACTGTACATATACCCATCATATACTGTACATATAACACAATACAACACAAACGACAGAGGCGCGATCGATCTTTTTCTTAAGAAAAGTAACGTAAATATACCACCAAAAAAAAAAACACTTGACTGGTCAATTAAAATAAAAAGGTCCCACGATCCGGCGGTTCAAATTTGCCTCCTGCCTACTGAGGAGCATGGTCCGGTCCTCGCACCTCAGTCGCTTCACGCCTATCGTGACCCGAAATATTGTAGGGCACATTCCCTTCTCCGCCGCTCCCTCCGTGCTCGCTGATTTTACCGACATCCTCCCATCCTCGCCCGGATTAGCCGCGTAACTAGACATCGGACTGCATATATTGCCGCAAAAGGCCCCTTAGCCGATTCAATTCCTCGCTCATCTACAAATTCTCCCTCCTGAGCCTATCGTTCTCTTCCAGTATCTCCGGCGACCTTAAGTTCTCTGCTTGGCCGATAGAAGAACGAATTACGGAGGCGGTAGTAATGATCCAAAAGAAAGAGAAAGTTAATTCCTTGAAAAGTGTTCATGAATTTAGGGGGAAAACGATGGAGAACCTTTGCTTCGAGATGTGAACTTGGCGGTGGGATGAGATTGTTAAGAATTTTGTTCAGATTTTTTAGGTAAGTGTATATTTAATATCAATTAATAAAATCATACCATTTAATCTTCCGCAAAATAAGCTAATGACGGTTATATTTGCCAACACAATATATTAGGTAGATTTGTAATATTATTGTGTTTGTTTAGCTATGTTATAAATAAAAATCAAAGAGATGTATAAATGTAATATAAATGAAATATGAAGGGATGGGGTGTAAATTCCTCTAAAAAATAGTAACAAAAGGCTATTGGGCTTCAGGTGGGCCTTCATTGGGCTTGGGGCGTGAGAGCGTGTACGAGAATAATGGGGCCCATCTTTAAAAAAACAAAAAATCTGGTGTTAGAGGAGCATAAATTGGCGATGAATAAAATGATATAAATTATAGTGCGAAATAGCTTAAACCATTGTACTATGTTTTATTAAAAATGTACTTATATTATAAAGTCTTAGATTTTATTTATATTATTTTTTAGAATCTGATATTTTAATTTGAAAGGATGATACATATATAGAAAAAAATATAATTTTCAAACGCGATAACTCTGAGTGTTACTTATTTTATAATAGTTCATAAAAGTATATTCTCCATCTCAACAATGCTTGCTTCACACCCAGTAGAACTTAGATTAGCTATTATTGTCCTGTTTTTAATGTTCCCAAATGATGGTTTGTTTTCTTTTTACTTGGAATATCGTGTGTGTGAGCGGTGCGATTAACAATTTTTTTTGTTCACATTTCACATGCATTAATAATTAATTAAGGGAGTTTTGGTGAGAATCATGATATTTTAATTAGAGATTTTTTTAATCTTAAATTAATGACACTTTCATCCACTTCCTTTAAATTTGATAAAGTTACAATATACAAAATTATTCAAGATGTGTTCCAAAATGGGGGTTGACCATTTGAATTGTGTGTGACCAATAAAAGTAAATGGATTATAAGAAAAAATTAACTATTAGATAAAATTCTCATTAATCCATTCAAAAACCAAAAATAAAAAATAAAAAAAAAATATCTATCTAATAAGTTAATTGCAAAATAATTATTGCTATATGGTGGATGACAACTGAAAAGTGCGTGGATATAATAGTGTAAATTTTAGTTCAAACAAAAACTTCAATTGACTTTTAAAATGTTGTCTAGATAAACACCTAAACTCAAACTTTTTGAGCAAATCAGTTTATAACAATAAGACTAATGTTGGATAAGCGGTCTAAACAATTTTAGGCTCATCCTTAAAATTACAACATTTACTTGTAAACTTATAAACCAAATAAGAAAGGCATACTTACATTACTTGAGTCGTCAAAGTTGTTCAATGGGTTTTTCCAGTTGACAGCAGTCATTAATGTTTAATTGGAGCCTCCAAACCAAACTTAGCTATTAATTATTATCATTATCTGTAAAATGACAATTTGTGGTGCCAATTGCCTTTCAGTGGGGGCCTGGGCAGAGAGGCCATGTTCAATTAATATAATGGGTCCACATAAGCCTATAGCAAAAACTACATAAATACTTACATTTTTACCAGATTAGCTATTTCTAGTACTTGCATTGCATGACATAATTCATAACTATAGCCTTTGAAGAACTTTGTTTGGGTGAACATAAATGATTAAAGGCATATATATTTGCAATTCAAATGAAGTAAAAGGAGTAAACATCTATGTGCAAATTAATCTTTAACTGATATTAGAAAATTTTATTTGAGCTATGTATAAACAATGAATTAATACATAAGTATATAAGTTGATATTCAAATACATATAATTAATCAACTAATTAAGCTGGTCTACATCTATTTTTTGGGATATACAAGTGTCAATGACAGTTCGGACTAAAAAATAACTGGTAACTGATAGTTCATGTGTTAAATTAGAATTAATGGTTGATAGCAAATGACCGATGATTAAACAATTAGACATATTGATTATTAATATTGAGGAGATCTAATTAAAATTAGATGATGATTAAATTTGAGTTAAAAAATATTTGATATTATTTATTTGTATTAATAATATTGAGGGGAGCTAGTTAAAGTTAGATGAAGATTGATTTTCATGAGTTAAAAATCGATAAGACATAATACTTGGTAAAATAAGTTTATAAGTCAATCGAGACAAAATTTCATTTGTACTTCATAAGCTCGGACTTGGAAAAAAAATACAATATATGATAAACTTGTTTAAATACAAAACAAAAAATTCGTAAGCCAACAATATAGAAAAATAATATATAGACAACATAGTGTACAACTAGGTTGATAACACAAGTGGAAAATATCTACTTGTGCATTTTTTTATTTTTATTTGTGTGAATGTTTTTTACTTGTCTTGTTAACTTAGTTGTACACTGAGTTGACAATGTAGCATTTCTCAACAATATAACATAAATACAATATTTGAAAGAAGAAGAAGAAGAAGAAGAAGAAAAAAAAAAAAAAGAAAAAAAAGGACATTACAAGTAAAAAATTATTATGTTAGCAGGATTTTAGTAACAGAAAGCTTATAAATGATATTAAAGCTATCTGTGTCGCAAGACCTGTTTTCAACTTCATTTATGCCCTCATAACGAAATGACCAGAAAGAGAAAATAATTCCAGACATTAGATACCACAGGCAAAATTAACCTTGTTAACTAAAAGAGCTTTTTAAACAAGCATGAGCTCAACTCTTTTATCAAACTAGTCAAGCAAAAATCGAGCCCTGACGAGCCCTAGATTCTTTTAACAGCTATAACTACAAGCAATCTCAGCCGAAAGATGGTGAATTATGGTTTGGATAATCACATGTAAATCAGCAATTTTCACACATAGCTTCATCACGGATTGCACAATCAATTTCGAAAAAGCTTACACAGAGAAATTCAATTAGATATAATAAAAATTAGAAAGATTAATTTATAAATATCACACATTNGTATTTTCCTGTTTTAGACGTTTCTTTTTATTCTGTTCTCTTAGAAGTCAAGTATTACTTTCAAGTTTGGATTGCCCAAGATTATTTATTTCTTCTTTGTTCGGATTGTTCATGCACTAACGGTTGAGCTATTTTTCTATTTTTATTTTTAGTTATTTGAGTATAACAACATGAGTTTTTACTATATTTTTGTTTTCGTGTTTCTGGAGAAGGTTATTTAATATAAATTTATTTTTTGATTATTTTCTGTCGATATATTAATTTCTGAAGTGAAGGAATTTGTTTTGCTCTTTATCTTAGAGCACCAAAAAAGGTCCAAATGAGTACATTACTAATGAGTAATGTCCTTATCTACAAATGAATCTTTCATTCTGTTGACTATATTAGTAAATTTCTAAGCAATCCTTCTTTTAATATATGCTCATCTATTTCCACTTTCTCAATCACTAATGTCTCAAAAGATTGAATATTTTTGAAAAAAAAAAATTACTAAATTAATCAAAAAGTTTTTATCTTTATTGCTATAAAAACGAATTATTGAAAATGACATTTTTTATTTCACTTTTTTCATACAACTTCTTTATTTGCAGAAATTTGAACCGGGGTACACATCTCCACCTAAGAAAACCCACCAAATTGAAACAACGGTCACCATAAGGTACTCATAATAGTTCCTTCTTTTTTATTTTCTTTCACCTATGTTGATTTTATTTTCTAAAGTTAGAATATATGCAATTATTATGCTCAAACTCTATAATATTAGCTCCTTTTGAAAATGCACCCGCATGTGTTCATGTTCATCATCATGATAGTTCATCCAAGCACTTTCTCCAAATATTTTATTTGATTTGTGTCCCAGGCTAGTGGCCAGCCAGTAATTCAATATTCTTTGTTTCATTCATTGGTTTAAATAAATTAAGGAAAAAAAAAATATGTAATTACAAGCCCGTTTGAAAATGAAACAAACCAAGTCAACGTGTTTGCGAATAACCCCCAACATATAGAAGACCCCATATTTTTTAAAATTACAAAAGCCCAACAGATGTTTGATTTCTTCTTAACTATTTCCTTATTAGTAACATATATTAACGAATACAAATTTTTGATTATCTTTTTTTAATAATAGGGAAAGTCTGGTAGTGCCAAGAAATGAAGAAGAACAAGAAAACAGAGGACAAATTCTTGAAACAGAGGATTATGAGTCTGAGTGTGCATCTGAAGCTGATAAAAGTGCTGCTTGTTGTAGATCAGTGGCTCTAATTGTAAGTCTTTCCAATTTTCTATTTTTCTTAGTCTTTTCACTTATTCAAATTTCAATTATTGAGTTAAAAAAAATAAGTTTGAACTCACTGAAAATTAAATGGGTGCATAGTTGGCAGTTTCATTATTAACTCATAAATTTGTGAAACAAATCGCTATAAAATAATAGCGTGCTGGGTCAGGTGTGATGTATCTGTATTGTATATGAATATGAGCCTATTTTTCTGGTTTCATATTGAAGTTACAAATAATAATTTCTATAACTTGTGACAGACTGTATTGTGCTTTTATGTGTGAAACTAAAAATAAAATAAAATAAAATGAAATTCTAGCGGCGGGAATCTATAACTTGATTTTCAATAAAAATATAAATCATGATATGGTTAGATTTACTAATGGACAAGGACCGTGAGTTCGATATGTATTACGCGTGAAAGATTTAGTCTCCGTACAACATAAGATAATATGCATATGCATACATATTAACAAATTTATGCAACACATTGAATCATTAAATTATTTTAATCTGCCTATTAAAGGACTGAATCTCATGATGAATTACACGGTGTACTTATAATGTCATATTTGTATAAGTCCTCTTCATTGAATGCAACGAAATACAAAATGAAACATGAATAATAGTCCGCTAGTTATATACTTTTACGGTGGAATGTACCACTTTAGTAGACAAATGAAATAATTGTACGATCCCCAAATGAAAATAGTTTTTTTGTGGAATATCGCACTTTAGAAAACACGACAAATAATTATGCAACCCTTTTTAAATATTAGATTATGTAATTGTAACGTATAAGTATTAACCACCTTTCATTCACAAGTTCCCTAAAATTTGGAATAAGTTAGAAATCAAAAGCCGATATATCGTATATTTGCAGAAATTGATTTGCCCAAAATTGAACAAACTTAACAGTAACTTTTTTTTTTTTTTCAACTGAAACTTGCAGTTAACTGCTCTGCTTCTCGCCAGACATTTGTTTGCCGTTGTTATTGGAGGAGACGAGGCTTACCCCTTTTCACTTCTTACAGTAAGTTTTTACTGTTGTTTTTCTTGCCACTAACGGTCCTTGCTTGCATACAACAATAATAAACAAATCTTAACAGAACTAAAAGAAAATTATTATCATATGCAGGTGATTATAGTTAAGGCTAGTGGCATTATCCTTCCAATGTACATATTACTTCGTATTTCAGCAGTACTGCATAACAGCATCAGGCATCACCACCAGGTTAATAACAATTTCTCCCCCAAATAATAATTCTGAAATAAAAAATAAAAAAGAAAAAAGCTCAAATCAGTTTTCGCTTTGTTACAGAGATCTGATTCGGAGCCCGAAGATGAAGATGGAGAGCAACATAACGAGTTACGAGCCTGACCAAAAATTTTACCACGCCTTTGATTTGTACCTAATGATGTGTGTAAATCTCTCTTACACTTTACATAAACTGATGGAAATATAGAAAATGTCAGCGTTCACAGATGTAATGAAAAAATAAAAAGGAATTATTTTGTTCGCAGTTGAAGTTTAAACACAACCAGAAAAGCCAATTGAAAGCTAATTCATGCAACATGCTCTCTTATGGAACAACACTAAATGCAAGTAGAATATTGCAGTCCAATATAGTAACTCACTTTTGGACTACGAAGAAGGAACAAGAAAAAGAACAAATGCCATCTTCAGCTCAGTTTACATACAAAATTCCACTAATAAATTTAGATAAAGAAAAGCTATGTACATTCTCATTTCATCGCGCAGTCCAAATGTCAACTTCCCATCATTAAATACAAATAGATATCACCACAAAATGCAACAGCTATCACTTTCAACACTTACTTAAGTCCCGTCAAAATGCACATTAACTTTATCCACCAAAAAGAAGAGCACAAATAATAGGCATAACCTGATACAGAGAGAGAGATAGAGAAGATTCTGTACATGGTTTTCAATATTGTTCTAGAAGCAGCCTTGCTCTATACTGCAGATTGGCCAAAGAATCAACAACCGAACTGTTGGTGCCAGGGTGAAAATCATTAGCAGCAGTAATTTTGATCAAGTTACCAATGATAGAAGATGACTCGTCTTCCCAGCTTTGAGTGGTGGAGTTAGGTTTTCTTAACCTCTTGCCGTAATTTCCTTCAAACTCTTGAGATTTAGCAGCAGCCTTCTGAAGTACTGTATCGGGAAGTCCTGCAAATGATGATATGCCAACAGCATGAGGCCCCTCGAGATTGAGTGGAATGTTTTGGCGGCAAAAAGAAGAAACGAAAAGGAAAAAGGGTTCTCAGGAGTCATTTACATAAAGTTAAGAAATTTAGTCGAGTTAACACCAAACCCAGCATTATCTCAGAATCTCCAATCTCTCCTAGTTTATTTGTTTCTACTTGGCAAATTTCATTTGTTATGGGGTTGGCAAGGACATATTTGTAATTAATTTTTCAAGATTATTGGAAGTTTTTCCTATTCTAGAGGTTTTTAAATAATTTTTAGGGTCCGGTTACCAGCTAGCCGAGCAACATTGACACCATAACTTTTGGGGCATGCACCAGATGTCAATTTGTAGAGGAAAATTACTTCCTCCAGACCGTCAACTCCTTTTATGACTTGGCAGGCCATATGACAAAGGGAGACCTGTAAGAATGGGGAAATATATTCAGCTCTCATACATGTGTTCTCAGAATGAAAATTGAGATTAGCCATGCCATGTAGAATTTGTTTCTGTATGCTTTCATTTCACAAAAGATTTATGACTCACCTTCGGATCATTTTGGTAGTCAACAGCTAATCTATGGTAATGTGTAGAGAACATCCCTCGGCATTGTACTTCACGGACAAAGTGTTCAAGAACTGATGCGCTGGCATTCATGAATAACATAACATACTTAATTATGGCTCATTTAATTGAAAGGAATTCGGATGTTATCGTCTAGTTCAAATCTAAATTTTTTAAGGCACGTACGCAATCGCTTGCCCATCTGATGTTGATGTGCCTCGTCCCAGCTCGTCTAATGCCACGAGGGAATTGCGGGTTGCGGAATTCTACCATCCACCAGAACAGATTAAAATAAAAAGGAAAATAATAAAAAAAAGGAAGAAAATCTTTTATTTCCTTGACTTGATTTTATTAACATAAATGTTATAGCTTGTAGTCTAAATTCCAGGGAAAACAAGATCGTCTTACCATCATAGATGCAGTCTCAGAAAGTTCAGTCAGAAAAGTGCTTTGGCCTGCCATAATCTGATCTTTCGCACCCATTCGAACAAATATCTGATCTACAGGAGACAACTCAAAACTCGCGGCCGGCACATCTGCTCCTATCTACAAAGTATCAAATTGAAGCCATTAATAATGAATAAAACATTTTTTTCCTTTTCCCCTTTTGTTTTTTTAATTGGGAAAAAATAAATCCGAAAATCTCACTTGGGCCAGAATCACAGCCAAGCAAATTTGGCGTAGAAGGGTAGACTTCCCACCCATGTTTGGACCAGTAAGGAGTATAAAGCTAGCCTGACCAGGACCACCCAGCATGACATCATTGGTAACAAAAGTATTCTCTCCCAAAGCATCACTTCTTAGAACAGGATGTCCTAAACTCTTAGCACTAAGGCATGGCAAGTCATTATGGTGTATTGTGGTTATAATTGGACGGCAAGTTTGGCCTTCATAATATTCAGTTGCAATGGACAAGCTGATTAAACAATCCAGTTCTGCAAGATATAAGTAAGTCTCACTTCATCTCAAAAAAGTGCTATGTAACAGTAAAAGTTCGCTGTTGAACCAAAGGTGCAATTGTTTTTTTTCCTCCGCAAAGACTTGAAAACCAATTGAATGCAAAAACACACACACACACACAACGAAAATATCATGGAACATATTTCAGACGAGATGAAATGGTCACAAAGAATTTAAGGTCCACGTAATACAGATCAGTAAAATTCAGAACAGCTCCAATTCAAATTCATAAGACATTAATACCTGCTATCGTAGAGACTATTTGTCTCCATTTAATGTGATTCTCGCAGAATCGTTCAATTAGTCTCCGGAGAATGCTCTTCAACTTTGCTTCCTTCTCGGATTCAGCTTGACCAAGCTCTTTCATCAAATCTTTAATCACTGGTGTCCAGTAGCGGCAGAAACCCTGCACATAGTATATTCCAAAATAAAAAGAAAGGCTGTGATACTTATTCGCATGAAAAAAAATTACATCAGAACAAAATAACGATAGAGATACAAGGCCAGATATGTGTCAATTTTGCACCAGTAAATAAAAACTCTAATCTATACTTCACAATATTTTGCAAGGTGCATGCTCAAATATTTAGTTATAAACTTTATCTACGACATAAAATTAGTCTAATGAGGATAATTTTTTATTAATCACCCTTTTACTAAAGTCATAGTACTAGCAGTCTTATTCTGGAAAGCCTCTCTATTTCATAGAATAGACTTTGTTTATGTATAAATCTGCCGCAAGCACATCGTTTGAGCAGGAATTGCCACATAAATAAATGAACCTAGTTTACAAAATTAACCAAAAAATTATGGTATTACCTTCTTAGATGATCTTAACTCGTATTCCTTTGGAATGCTCTGTGATAAACTTTCACGCACTTCCAAAAGGTATGCATCTTTCCCAATCGTGACAAAACAAATCTACACATAACACAATGATCCATTATCAGAAAATAATCTGGAGCCTGACAGAAATAAGATTATGCTAATCGATACCAAAAAGTTATGATTGTTGGACAGTGTTAATCAAAAGTTCTTACAGATGCATCTCCAAGTACTTTCCTCTGTTCCTTTAAATGTTTTTGGAGATTGGACTCGATATTTCTAACCATTTGGCATGCAGCATCATACTCAACGTCAGCCCCTTCTCGAGGTATTATTCGCCCTGACTGATTGGCTTCCTCCCAATCAAAGGCATTTTTGAAATGCTTCAAAATTGAATGAACTTCAGAATCCCTACAGACTGGTAAACAAATCAACCATATAAGATTATAATCGTTACAAAATATAATACCCAAAATTTATGTGGCATACCAGGCATTAATAAATGACTCAGCAGTCTGGATTCCACATTGTCTAAGATGGCTCTAAGTGAAGAGCATCCATGCATCATCATTTCACATCCACGTAGAGCTGAAATGAATTCTTGGAGCTGCTTCTTAGATGCATCCTCATACAGAACAACTTTGTTTGCATTCCTTCCATTAGCTTCACTGTATTTACCCAAAACAGTTAATAGATCTCTTGGAAGGACATACTAGGTTCACTCAAATAATGCCTAATCAATAAAACTTGGCAACTTCACCTGCCAGCAAAGATGTGTGCAAGCAAACGCTCCATGTCAGGAAGCTTTGATAACTCTTTTCTAAAGTCAAGGACATGTGATTGGTTTACTCCCTAAGACACAAAAAATAAACAAAATAAAGGACTAATGATTGCGAACGTCATCTGTTAAAATCTTTAATTTCGGCCTTTAATAATTGAAGACGCCATTTAATTCCATTTACACGTGGAAACATGAGATTTCAAATCAACAACCAATCAAGCATGGTAGTGTTGACATACATTTTTCAGTCCTGCAATAGCATCCTGGCGTTCCTTAATTGACTCAATATGATACAAAGGTCTTGCCAGCCATGTTCTGAGTAATCTTTTACCAAATGCTGTGGCACAATGATTCAACTGAGCATATAGTGTCCTGAGGAAACCAAAAGGTGAGGGAGTGTACAAAAGTAAAATGTTGGTCATACAGAAAGCTTTAAAATCATACACGGATAACAGTCCACATTACCCCGAAGAATCTCCATTTCTGCTGTTCTCGAATATCTCAAGATTTTCCAGTGCAGATGCATCAAGAACCATATATGGTTTTTGAGTTATTTCACCAAAACCAGAACACGGAAGCAATTCAAACTTCGCAAATATGACAAGAGTTTCATCCAAAAAAGCCTGTTTCAGATAGAAAATAGTGCCACCAAGAGCTGAGAGTGCTTGGCTTCCATTTTCACCAGCATTCACAAGATTGGATAATACATCAGGTAGGCAGTTTGTACCATCAATTTCCAATAAAGATTCACTGGATTGAGCAACTACTTCACTCGCTGAACATGAATGACTTCCAGATCGTTGATAGATAGCCGTAACCTCACGAATAGTTTTTTCAGCATCCCAGAATTCAGAAAAAGGAATCAATTCATTAACCAAAGGATTTCTTGTATGCCTAAACAGTGCCTTTTCAGTCTCAGGACAAAGCAGCTTAGCAGGTTTTATAATTTCAACTGGTCTCAACTCAGATAATAAACTGCATAATGAACTGCAATCCGCATCATCCCTGAACTGATCAAAGGAAGCATACTTAATCCCACAGAGAACATACGGAAACAAAAGAAAAGAAAGTACAAAGATTAGGTCTGGCGTGCATGCATATTGAGGGTGTCACAGATACTTGGGCGGGTGTTCAGATGAAAATAAAATATTCATGCTACACCTTGGTTCTGAATACACAGGAATTCACACCACCTTGAATACCAAAGAAGTATGATACGAGGTATTAGGACCTTAGAATACATCAAAATTTCTCCTATTATTTAACTTCAGGTCCTCAAAATGAACAGCTTAATTTATAGGTACATGCAATCAAATAGTATGCAGACAACCCATGAGAAGAACATATGAGGACAAAGAAAAAAAAAAAAAAAGTCATGCACAACAAAATCCTATGCAAATCATCTCTGATAGTCTGATACAATTAAGTTACACCCCCCACCTGTCCAAGGACAATTTTGCTCGTTGCAACATCAACCACACAGATACCAAATATGTGAACTCCTTGATGATTTGCGGAAGCTAGACAGCCCTCCGTCACTGCTAATAGATATGAAGCATCAGGGTTGGTTGAAAGCATTTCTCCTTCTGTTAAAGTGCCTTTTGTAACCACAGCACATATCTCTCGTTTCACAACCTGGAAAAGGGTATAAAAATTATCAGCCTCATAGAACAAATCCCCCCCTATTAATTCAGAACGTGCTGAGCCTATGTGGCAGGCTCGCATGCTTCGGGATCCTATGTGGCAAAATTACATGCTTCGTTATTAGGCTTGGGTAGATTTAATTTACTTCTAATCCAAAAATATTTAGGTTCGGATGATCTATAAATATGTTGATTATTTATGGTAGGGGTGGGCACGGTCCGGGACGGTCCTGGATTTGACTTATCCGGATACTGATCCCACTTTCATGAATCCGTTAATGAACGGTCCAGGATGAGGCACCGTCCCCACCCATGTAATACATGGGTGTTGTACTAGTAATAATGTAATTATAAAGAATATTTCTCACAAGCGTGAGATTAAAGTGGATGACCCATGACCTTATCTTTAGAGCCTTTTTCCTTTCGACGAAGCTCAAGTTGTTCAGGTGTCTCTGTTTGCTCCACAACGAGAACACGATATCCCTGTTTACATCATATATTCTCATAACAATTAATCTTTCCAAAGTACATAAACTTTTTATGTGTTAAGAGCCAGGACAACAATAGTTTACAAGCAAAGATAACCTTTCTGGCCAGCTTCTCTACATTCATGGAGAAGTTCTTCTCCGGAAATCCACAATGAGGTTGCTCCCCCTGACAGCACAAACAGCTGTTAGATATCAACTCGAGCAATAAAGTAATCTTGAGAGCAAGTTCAAACTGCCTGAACATTGATTGATCAAGAATTAGAATTCTTAAGGAAGTAATTTTCTAAGTTTTTCTTTTTTTTTTTCTTTTTGTGTCACTGTTAATGTATTGACACGGGAAGCGTACATAGTTTACAATGTATCAACAGACTCCTATACCTTCATATACTGCAAACCAAGCTCTCTGGTTCCAACATGTGCATCCATTTCAAAAAGCTCATAGAACTTTCCCATCTGGTTCATTCATTGAAAATACCAATGATCAGTACCACAACAAGATAGAATAATGAATAACACCGACAACATGAACTAGCGACATAAGTTATTCTGAATGAACTTGGTAACTACCTTGAAAAAGAGAACCTTATCCATATGCTTTGACTTAAACTCCCACCATTGCCTCTAAAATTATAACATGCATAAATATAACAATTTCAGAAATTACTCAAACAGAAGTATAAATAGTAACTAAGGAAGCCATATACCTGGCCACCAGTTAAGTTTTTCACAAAATCCGACGGCAAATAAAGGGTTCTTGGGTCATAATTTACATCCCCAGGGCGCCTTCCACTTGCATCTTTACGATTTCTATTTCAGAAAGGAGACAAGTTAAACAATGCACCTGGTAAAAGTATAGCAATATAAATCTATTTAATAAAGACATTATATATGAAAATGCCTCCGAAGAGACAGCAGCATAGAGGTTGCATATTCTTCCATTTGCTCCACTGTGATATTCTCCAGAATAAATATCAAGATTATGCAAAGACTTACAAATCAAGGAAATGCAATTTATCTGCTTCTCGACTGGCAAATCTGTCTGCATCATCTCCCACTTTGGAGCTATCTACAAGAGATGCTTTCTCACCTACGATGCAATACTGTAATATTTACTTCTGGTCACAGAATCAGTATGTAGTGTTATAAACAATCGGATTCAAATAATTAAAAACTGACACATTTAAACCAGAAAGAAAAAGAGAATAAACTTAAAAAGGAGTACCAAAATATCAAACTTAAAATACATAATCTGCTACTGGAATTAATGATGAACTTAAACAAGGCAAACATAACGAAGATGAAGGAAAAATGATATTTATATAGTATGATAACCTTAAGTAATCTCAAACAGGAACAGGAAAGGGATCCAGAGAAAGGGATCCAGCCTATTACAAATAAAAAGACAACACAATATGTTTACTTCTTATTTTATTGGAAGAAACACTTCAAAAATACTTACTACGAGGACCAATTCTTTTACTTGGCTCAGTCAACTTTTCTGCAGCTGAGACCTCTGCAGCACTATTTTTCAACCCTCCACCAAATTTGCTTTTCTTGTTGGCCACCGACGACCTTTGTTCTTTTTCACGCACATTCCTTTTTCGGGAGCTCGTCTTCTTCCCAAGACCAACCTTTCCAGATTCCTCTTTTTCCATCTCAAAATCCATATCCTCCGAACCTTCCTCATCGTCTAATACTTCATTTTCATCATTTCCCTTCCAATCCTCATCACCGGAATCATCTTCTACTTCTTTGACATCATTAAGACAACCATCATTGTCTTCATCGTCTTCAACTACCGACATTCTTCTAAGCCTCCGGAGCTTCTTCTTCAACGGCTCCTCAATCCACTCAAATTTCTGCTCCGAAATATTCAACATTTCCTCCTCGCCGTCATCGTACTGCACCAGATGCTTGCCGGATATCTTGTCGAACGACTTCACGCAGCCTTCATACCACGACTTATCCAACGGCCAATACACCTTGATCCTCCTATCAACAGCATCAGTCCCGCGTAATTTTTCATCGGAGCTCCGAGATTCAGGTGAGGCAGACGCCGAATTCGGGGTGACAGCAATAAAGGGCTTTTTGCACGTCGATTTCTTTTTGGAGCTAAAATTTTCCGGTGAGGCAGAGGTCAAATTCGGGCTGATAACGAGTACGGGCTTTCCGCTTTTAGGCGGCAGAGGTGAGGGAGTCGACGGGCTCGGGCTTGGGCTTGGGCTTGGGCTAGGGTTAGGGTTCCTTTTAGAGAGAATGGGCGATGGCGAAGGTGAAGGAGAGGGCGACGATTCCGGCTTCTTGCCGAAGAATGCGGTGATCTGACGCTGCGGATTGACCATCGGCGACCGGCCGTTGCTCGTCTTCTTCAATGGGGCCATCGGATTATTGTTCTGTACCTTTGTTGCGAGTGTGTGTGGAGAGTGATGAAAGTGGAAATGGAATTGCAAGGTTAGTGGGGGGGAGAGAGAGAAAGAGAGAGTTTCAGTGTGTGAAGGCGGGAAGTAGAGATATACGGAGGAGGAAGGCGCAATCGCAGAGGAAAAGGGCGGGAATGGAGACGGCGAGGCGCGTGGGGCGGCGAGCTTTGGCGGGAATATCATGCAGCGCGTGCGGTTGTATTTGGTCCTGGAGGCCCAAGAGATGCCTAAAGTTAATTACCGTTGTTGATGGGCCTTAGATATTTACAGATGAAACATAGGCCCAAATTATTAGGCCTTTAAGGCTTGCGCCTCTAAAAATGCCATATGACCAGAGTTTAGCCCATCTACAGTGTAAATGCAAGATGTGGTTCTTAGTCAAAAGTAATGGTCTGGTTAGATGGTTATATTTTTAAAAAAAATAATAATAAATAAAAATAAAACATTTTTAATATAAGTATATATTTTTTGTTTAAAATATGACGGTCAGAAAATTATGGTGCAAATATCAGGTTGGTTGAAAGGCGGAGACTTGATTTAATAGCTCAACTGTGAGTGTAGTTGTTGATTATTTATCATGTGAATCAAGAAAATTGTGAAATTGATTAAATTTATTTAATTAAAAATAGTTATATATAATAATAAGAATTAAATTTTATTTTTCCGTGTGTCATCTATATATATATAATAAGAATTAACATTTACCAAAAATAGTAGCAAAAAAATAGGTCAAAATTTAATGCAACCTATAAATAGTAAGTTTTATTATTTTTCTTTATTTTTTCTTTAAAAATCATACAACATTAAATGCTACCTTAAATTTCGGGATTTAGTTAGTTCATTTTATTATTTAAAAAATTCAGCGAATATTTATTAAGTGTGTAAGTTTTTATTTTTATTTTTTTCTTAGAAACAACGAACAACATTAAAATCTCAGTCTTTATATTTATAAAATCTCGATTCAAAATATAACAAAAGTTTTAAAATCTCGGTCTTTATATTTGTGCCTTTAAAGAAATATATTGAACGCTAAAAATATTCTTTAAATTGCATAATCAATCAATTAATCTTAATTTTTTAAAAATTACTATGTTTATTTTTTGTTAATATGCATAAAGTAAAAATAATTAATTCATCTTTAGATATATAATTTATAATCTTAATATACTATCATTTGGTGTAAACATTTATTATATGAATCATAAAATATTTTTATTTCATAAAATTAAATATATTTAAAAAAAATAAAAAAAATTCTTCGGATCAATCGGATGATTGAACTAGGGTACTGTCCAGGTTGATTGAATTACTTTTACGTGATATTTAAAATAGTCAAAAAACTTGACACAACTTGGTTGGTCTCAGATGACTGAGTTATGTATCTGTTCGACCACACCAAATTGATTATATAACCTAAATATATATTTTATATTAAAAATATTACGTGAATGTGATGTAGTCCAAACTTCAAATAATCGTATTATTTTAGTACAACATGTTTAATGATTTATGAATATTTATATATCGTTTTATTAATATTTATGTGAAATAAATAATATTTTATTATAATATTTATCAATATACAGTAATATAAGGTTTTCAGAACTGGACCGTCATCGAAACGATCAAATTATTTATTAAATCATTTGTTGTTTGTTCAGATTTTAATTTATAAACATTTTAATATATATATATATATATATATATATACATATATTCAAAAGTGCTATATATATAGCACTTTTTGTAATAAATTTAAATAAAATGTGTTACTTAGATATCTAAACAATTTATAAATTCAAATGTTTAAACTAATTGATAAAAAATTTATAGATCTCTATTTTATTTAAATATGTAATTTTATTTAAAATTTAAATATAACAAAATTTATTTAGAAAATCGTATCGATCTTACTAGTCCAACCGACTGGTGTTGACGGATTCGAAAGCAAATATTTTATTCAAGCGAACTAGATTGGTTATAAACCGGTTCTCGGTCCATCCGGTCGGACTGTGTCCAACCCGGTTTAATTTAAAAATAAAGGATAAATCATAATTAATATTATTTATATATTTAATTTATAATACAATCGTAATATTGTTTTCCCGTACGTCGCATGGGCCACGCACTAGTAACAATTAACTGTTATAGTTATAAATTTAATCAATTTCACACTTTTTTATTAAATTAATTTTCAGTATAGTTATAATATTTTTCCGTGTGCCATATCAATTAAATATATTTTATTTTATTGTTTTGTATGAAATTAATCTTTTATAAAAATTAAAAATGTTTCAATGTGTCGCTGTATATTTTCTAGGCCAAAACGTTGGTGATCTAGAATAGTGGAGCTTTTGCTGACAAAACCATGTTCTCAAATTCAAAGAAAAGGGTACACCAGATTTGGTTTCCTTTAGTGAGTGGTCAAATAAAGTGTGCCACTCCATAAAGTCACAAAAAGATTTTATAACTTTATACCTCCAAAAAAGAGATGGCTGTACAAACTTGAAAGTTAATTTTCCTCTCTAAATTTAACTTTCAAGTTTGCTGACAAAACCATGTTCAATTATTGAGTTCATTTACTATGATAGTACTATCATTAAGACGATGTTTAACTGAAATACTTATAATTGTGTGTAGAGATTATTCCTGAGCAAAAGATCACCTATTCAATCATTATCCTAACACAAAACATGTTTAACTTCGGAATTTTTATGAATTGTGCAATACACATTATGAGGCACCTTGATGTAATGAGATATAAGATTCAAAGTCTTTTTAACATTTTTCAATTTATCTATTAACTTGACTCGAGGACTATCGTAAAGTGAAAGATCTAAAATCTCAATAACGTTCGAAGTAATAAAATGGAAATTTCATAAATTTTAAATTTAGTTTTTTAAAATCAATAGTTTGGGTTCGATTGGTTAATGTGATTACAACTATACAACTTTTAAATTGATTGTATAATTTGCAAGGCGATGATTCTTGACTACATGAGCTCGCCCACGGTAGTGGCTCCAAACAACGTGAAATGGCTTGTAATGGTGGATATGAACGAATAAGTTTATCTCACAGTGTAAATTTCTCAAGCTTAGATAAATAGAGGGTTTTAAATAATTTCCAATGTTGACTGAAATCAGTTGATTAATTATTATAATTAAAAATATACAATTTTCAAATTGATCGTATGTGACCGCGCGTCGTTACACGGCAAATTTAAATTTATAATTTTTCCTAACTTACCCCTACTAACTAGTAGTAGTGGCGAGCAAGGGTCGATCCCACAGGGAGTGTGGTATAAACCGTGATTTTATTATATTAATTAGATTAAAATAAAAATGGGGGGATTTGGTTTATTACGAAACTACTAGCAAAACTAGAAATAAACTAAAACTAAAAATAAATGACTAAAATGCAAATGATGATGAAATGGAAAATAAATAAAAATAATCTAGCAAAGATGAGAATGGAATCGGTTCCAGGTCGGTCTACACCCTCGAGTAACTAGTCCAATTAATGCTTTTATCAAATTTCACTCGTCTTCTAAAACTACCGGTCCTAGATAGCAATAAGCTCTGCTACCCGAATTTTCCCTTAATTTATACTTAATCGAAATAGGCTCTTCAATTAATTCTAACTAGCGAATAACTCGGAATAAGCTCTCCTAATTTAACCCACTAGCCGCATTAAAATCTAGGAAAATAGACCGATCTAAGCCACAAACACATAAGCTCGGTTCATGTAACTTATGTTGTGCTATCCCTAACAATGCACGACTGTTAGTTGCTACAAACGAAATAAGAGCGACGACAATTACGGATCGAAGCCTCAAATCTAGCAATTAACATGCAATTCCTAACTTAGGTGATCAAGCTAAATTAAAAATCACACATTATGACATGAAACTAGAATAACACAAACAATTTTATACGACGAGTAAAACGAAATAAATTGCATTAATCAAACATAGTCATCGAGGGTTCAACGTCCCTAGAACCGAAATAAGTGTTTAGCTACACATAGCTAAATAATAAAAATAAAAATAAAAATTCATGTTCTTCAATCAAAAATAAGAAAAACCAATAATAAAATAGCAAACTCCTTTAATGTCCACGGCCGATCCGATTTCTCGCAAATAAATCCTCCAGCTCTTGGTACTCTCTCCCTGTTCACGTATGCCAAAGTCTAAAACAAAAAGAAAGCCTTTTATTTTTCCTTCTCTCCTCCCTTTGATGCGTGCAGCTCTTAGGATTTTTTTTTGAGTCCAAATCCCCCAAAACTCTCCAAATTAATTCCATTTCTTTTTTCCAAGTCAAACCAATAACAAATAAATGAGAGTCCACTAGCAATCCACTTCTTTGCTCTTCAACACCATCCGCAGCACAAGTCCTCCAATTCAACAAAATTTAATTATTTACTAATCCATTAAGCATTGCCACGCCTAGTCAATAATTTTTGGCCACGTCATCGCTTACTTAGCTGCCACATCTTTTATATGCTTAAGAACTGCAAAATAAACACAAAATACGAATATTGGTGTATGTCCGTTCACAAAATAAAATACGTGAGAAACTTGTAAAATACACTAAAATCCAATACTCAAATATTTAAATTAAATCACAAAATAACACAAGATTTCTCACGTATCAAATCTCCCCAAACTAAAACGTTGCTTGTCCCCAAGCAACATAAAACTAGAACACAAAGAACGGACAACCGAAACAAAACAAGTACGTAGAATTTTCGCTCAGGTCCTCGCACATCTCACATAGTGCATAGCTACAACTCCTCAATTAGTAATCCCGGACTCGAAATGGAATCATCTTTGGAACGCCAACAATCAAATATCAATTCAGTGAATCACCGCAGTTTGTCAATCTCTACACCGAGTATACCAATCATGCAACTAACGACATCCCTTTCTTTGTCAACCGGTTTAGTTCCTATTCGCTTCTAGCCAGAAATCAAATGCCTCGATATTTTTTTTCTCTTTTTATTTTTTTTTTATTTTTTTATTTTTTTATTGTTATTTTTTTTTGGGAACGGCAGCTCCGTCACAGTCCATGGTATTTAGCTATTCGTGCGAGAGGTATGCACTAAAGCTTCACAGACTGGCAGCTGTTGCAGCCCACGATCATTTTTTTTTTCTTTTTTTTCTCAACAACTATTATTTTCTCCTC